GTGATGGCCCAACAAGGACGGCTGTGGAGGCAGCATACGCGCTGCAGATGCAATGTGCCCCCACGCTTCAGAGGGTATTGTCACCAAGCGATTCTCCAATCTTTGTGGTCTCTTCGCCACGACTAACCCACATCACTTTTACCGCGGTGGCGCTATCGCAAAAGCCAATGCCTCTACAAAACACAGCTCGCCGGGTGTCCATAACATTCATTCAGAGGCACTAGAGCCAGCAGCAAGCCAACTGACAGGACCTCTATCTAAGTCTTAGGCGTTGCTTAGACCAGAACAAAGTTCCCGCCTTATGGAACCCTAGAATAATAACCACGATTCACAGAGATGGAAGCAGAACTGAGCCCTCCAACTAAGGTCCAGTATCCCTACTTCCTAAACTCCCCAGTGTCATGCAATCCGTAGTTGCCGATGCACTGGTGTGTTACCTGGATAACCGCTCTTTCATCACGCCTGAGCAGCACGGCTTCCGTCGACAGCGGTCATGCACAACGAACTTACTAATCGCACGCAGTAGTTGGGCCGAGGCAGCTGACGCTGGAGACAAGGATGACACGACCTACTTGGATTTTTCGATGGTTTTCGAGCGTCTAGAATGTCGGATACTACTCTCCAAACTCAAGCATTACGGGATCAGTGACCCTCTTCTAAGCTGGATTGCCAATTTTCTACTTCAACAGCAATTAGTGGTCAGAGTTTGAAGCTCTTTATCGGACCCCACACAGGTTGAGTGTGGTGTGCCGCGAGGCTCAGTTCCAGGCCCACGTTTATTTTTGGTGTTTCATAGTGACCTTGCACAGGGATTCGCTTCAAACTTCCTAACATTTGTCGACGATATCAAGCTTTGGTGCAGGATCCAGGTGATGGCGGGCCAGCATCTGCTTCAGATTGACCTAGATGCGGTATATCAATGGTCAACCCAAACCTTACTGCAGTTCAACGTGTGTAAATGCAAGGTACTTTCCAACCGACATCAGAGTAGCTACTCATACCGTCTCGGAACGAATGTATTGCAGCGATCAACTCTCGAATGTGACTTGGGTCTGCTGGTTTAAGATGACTTAGGTTGCTTCAAGCAACCCGAAAATCTTCGAAGACTGGAAACCAACACGTTGAACTGTCGCGATTTGCGTGTAGACAAATAAACAGCTCCACTCATAAGTACTACCAATTCGCCCTTACGGATTCCACAAAATGCTATGTTGATTCATAGCTGCCGTAACCGGGAAGTCCTGACGCCGGAAGGCCAACCGCTGTCAGCTGCATGGCAGGTGCCTGCGTGGCAGTGGAGGATAGGTCGGGCTATATCGCATTTAGCTAACAATTCGTGATGGTCGGATACCGTCCTCCATGGCGCAGTTGCATAAGCTGCGGGCTAGTTGGCAAGAGCCACTAACAGTCATGGGTTCGATCCCCCGCAGAGGACCGAAGGATGCGCACCACTGATGAGCCGTCTGCTGCTTTTCCGGATAGCTGGTCGACATATCTGAATTGTCGGTTGATTGCGACGAACAAAAATAAACAGCTCCATATTTCGACAAAGTTCGAACTTCGAACTTCGAACTTCACACTACTCACAAACATCCACCATTAATCTACCATCGCCCATTGGACGTCTGAAGGACAGGACCTTCGGTCTATTGGGAAGTGACGGGTGAGTGAGCCAATCTGCAACATCAGGACAGGTACTGTGAGCTTATTGGCAACACGTCGCGCACCAAGCAGAAGACATGTGTTAAAATTTGCGCACCTAATCGTCAGCCCTCGGTAGCTCAGGTGGTAGAGCAGCGGACCGGAAATTCGTGGACCGGGGTTCGACTCCCCGTCGAGGCATATTATTGTGCGTGCATTTTAATCGTGGCTTCTACTTTCTTCGAACTTTACACTACTCACAAACATCCAACATATCATATATGTTCAGCTAACCTCATGCTATTGCATGGGCGAAATAACGACATGTGCTTATCACTGTCCGTGTTTCTGGCAAGTTATTTATCTTCCATATTTGTGATTCATGCGAATGCAATAGCCAATTTTGTAGTTCGAGTAAATTGCAAGCATTGCGTGTTAATTACGTTGCGTAAAGCTGTGAGATTACACCCTTAGTGCAATAAGCGTCTATTCTTAATGGCCTCACTTTTCTAATCCTGTACACTTTATTTCTCTGTTTTCATTTGCTGCGATTTCTAGCAAATTGCCTACAAATGGTCAACACGTGAGGTTACCACATTATGGTCCGAGTAGCAAAGAACGCTCTCTGTACGCCTTCATATTCCAATAACTTCCCCTGTGTACTGTCAGCTTATTCATGTTTGCCCGAATGACCGGCCACACGTGCACACGTACACACACAATCGAGAAGAGATCAACATGCAAATTACCAACATACACTTGGTAGCTATCGGTGATCTTGGTGCCGTGAGCAGTTGATGTATAAGTGTAAAGTCATGGTAGATTCAACGCCAGTAGTATCAGATGGATATGCGTAACCGACGAGTCTCATTAAGAATTAACAGTTGACCAGCTTCTTTCGACTGTCTGGCTGCGTCTTGCAGTAATGCATCATCTTAAACATATCCGTGTTTGCTGTCCCCCTATGTTTTAAGTTTGGACTCTTTCACTGGGTACTGTATTGCAATATCAAAGCATCTATAAATCCCTATGAATATGATCAAGAATTTAAAGCGGAGGTCTTAGCTAAACCCTCAAGCAACTGGTGTTGAGCTGAAGCACAGATGATGGAAGAAAATACGTACTGAGCGTTAATATGAAGGATCTGAATCCTGGGATATTCATCTACTCATGTTGTACTCGTACTCATCTTGAGCACTGCAACCCAGTCACTGGACTCATACAGAACGCGCACCGGAGTGTAATTTTGGGAGTCAGCTGGATTGTAATATTACATATAATATTATTAGCATGATTCTATGGATTACACTCCTATCATCAGTTAATGTGCCGATTAAAGGGACTTCGAACTGTTAGGGAGAGCGCGTAGACACGACTACATTCCTGTCTGATGTATAGTTCAGTTCTGTTCACTAGTACAATTTCGATCCAGGCAGCGAACGAAGCACGGCGGATTCAGTGGCCACCTCTTTAGTCGCCCGAGCAACTACAATAGAATAACGTGCAATTCGAATCAGGTAAGCGTAGGACAAATGCATGTATCTATGCTTATTGCTCGTCCACTGTATTTCTATACAGTTAGCTCTCCTATTTTTGGTCATGACTGGGCTGATCTCCTGAGCTGACGAATTAATTGTTCTAAGTTAACTAGCACACACACAAGTCGACTTGCCACCAACTCAATGGTGACTACTAAAAATGCAAAAGTCGAAACAGCTGTACTGTGTAATGGCTGTATGGCTGGAGTGCCTAAAATATAACAGCGACCCTAACAGAGGGAGACTTATTTGCTTCTAGGTTCGAGACAAAGTTTTCGCGGGAGTGCCTCATATGGAAGCAGATTTCTAAACGAATGTTTCACAGATGGTCGGATTGAACCGCTGGCTATAATTGTATGTATACCTCCACTCTAAATCTCCGTCTCCCTTTAGTTTTAGTTGATAGAACACCCCGAAAACGCCTGTGGGAGCTAATTTGAATAATTTAAACCAGCTTCTCCACTATCTAATCATGTCGTACAAAATGATCACACCACGCAGTTAGTTTGTGTCTCGCACTGTCGAGAAATACACCGTTTATTTATTTAAATGGAGATAGGACGCAAGAGACCTTGGGATAAACTTTGTGTAACTTTAACCAGAGCGAAGCCCCGACGGCTGGATACAAAAATCGATTGGCGGAGAGCTGTCGACTATGCGGCTTCGCCATGTCAGCAAAGATATCCAACCGCTGCTTTGGCTCATCATTATACACAAATTATGAACACAACACCAGCCCGCATAAGCAAATATCTCTACCGATGTTACAATGTTATTATTCCACTGTGTAGACTGGATACCCTGCGGTTTCGCCCAAGTTGGCGCCGTGACATTATCTAAAGCACGCTTGATAGGCCGTCTACAGGTATGTCAAAGACACGAACAAACCATCGCAGGCAGTTCCACCTTCGTAGAGAGTCCATCAGGGTGTCAGGTGCTTCTTTACAAAACACCAACTAGTGGAATTTAGCATCGTTCACCAGGTGACTCCATCATACTTGTGGAATGGCTCGCAAACACTAACGATCAAAAACGGCCATTTTCATAATTTCTTGGGTGCGTAGTGACCAGGTTCATTGGTAATGCAATAACACATGGTTAGTACATGGTTAACTTCCTCACACTAACAACCTTTAAATGATATGTCTTGCGTGGATCCTTTGTTGGTGACAGGACTCCAGTCTCAGTAACATGCATAACTCGCATGGCAGTAGAGGACGTGTTACGCTGTGTCACAGTTAGCTTGCAAGCCATGACGGTCCGCCGGAATTCCGCTTGACCTAGTGGCATGTGCTGCTGCTTAGCGGTGCAAACTGATAGTGCTCATGGGTTAGGATTCGGATAGGACCGAGAGCAGCGCACTACGAAAAAGACTTCACAGATCGAAACGGCATTTGGTGTTCTACCTGATATATAAAGGAGTTGGAAGCTTGTGCGAAGAAACCAAGATTGTTTGCATTAAGGTCCCTTACTAATGATTGCACCTAACCTCTGACGATTGGCTGTTAGAGAATTACGACCTGGAAAAACTACAAGGGCCTTCCCGAAACGGTAATTGTCCTTCCCACTTGACTGCCCGACCGCTTCCATGGCTGTTGACTAATAGCTAATATACGCCATGGGCAGGTTCAATCTCGTAACAGCAAGCTGCAGTTTGTATCTACGTAGGAGATACCAAAGCGTCATTTAAACTACCAGGAAACATTTCTACAGAGGATGGGCGCGAACAGACACGCAAGTCTATCCGGATCCTTGGGAGTCGGTTTATTTGAATCTTAGCAACCTAGATTTTTACGTGAAGTTAAAAGCAGGTGCAGCTTCTCACTGGTTTCCGACATTCGCAATTGTGACAATCCTGACAAGTGCGTCACAGTAATAAACAATGGGTACTTGAGATAACTGCAAGAGATACTTTGAACAGCACTCACCAATTGTCCTGGAGGAAGAGATAATTTGCTTTTTGTGCTTTTGTGCCGACTCGTTCTCGCTTTGATTGCTAGCCTCGACCACATCTGATAACGAGTTGTGTACAGTTTCGTGCTTATCACACTCATGCAAAGCACAGGCAGTCTGATAATTCGGATCGGACATCGGGACGCCGATGCATGCGTTTGTCATTTCAAGCCGGCTGTGTTCGATGCGGTCGCTGACACGTCCTATTCCGCTGTTGGCTACGTCGAACTGGTGCGGGAAGCGCGCAAGACTCATGCTTTGGAGCTCGACACGCCCTGGTCTCGTTTTGGCCTTGACGGGAATAATTCTTTCGCAAACATTTACCCTTCCTTTCGCTTGTGAGTTCATGAACTTTCTCGACGTTTTACATTGACCCGCAGTCAGCTCGCTATTAAAGGACACACGGAGAACAGCAAGGCTAGCTAAAAAGGCTTGACAAGCGTCGTGTTGTTGTTGTTGTTGCTGCTGCTGTGGTGGTTGTTGTCGTTGTTGTTGTTGAAGGAACTCTGAGACACCGAAAAGAGACTGATATTCCAGAGGTATTAGCGAAGACGATGACAGGGTTCTACGTTTCTGCATTATTATCCCATTTTTGTTGGGTTTGTATTTCGGAACTCCTAGTGCATTCGAACGAAGGGAGGAGTATGCTCGAGATAAGCCAAGCAAATCTTTAAATTGGCCTTCCAGACGTATGTCATGCAAAGATTTCGTGTGAATCAAAGAGGATTTTGGGAAGAAATGCTGACTGTTTGTCTGTCGAACGTCAGACACCGCTAGTGGAGAGGATATGGTGACCATCGACGTGTTGTCATATGTTTTGTCCATGTCTTGAGGTGTTGCTTCCACTGAGGAACTGACGAGGCCCCCGATCTGCAGGTCATCATGCCTGTAACTGTCTTGCTTTTTCAAGTTGACATTTTTGTGAGCTAACTCTTTGAGACACTCATCACCGGCTTCCAAGACGGAGGTTAAACACGTATCTTGATGTACATCATGTCTCTCTGGGATGCATTTATTAATTCCATTCAGAGGATGTCTATGCTTGAATGACGCAAACTGCGCCCTACAATAATGCTCTAAGCTATCGGACGAATAAGACCTAGTTTGTGGCATCGATTGACAGCATTCCAGAGGATGTGCTTGTATATCTGTGCACGAGGGTAAGATTGATGGCTGTTTGGGCATCTCCGACCGCTGATCAGCGTAATCCATAGTCACCCAACGATGTGAATGCGTGTAGCCGTACACTAGCTCGTCATGTGTGGTGGTGGAGGTCTCTTTGGCCAAATTTGCAGCAGTGGAGTCTGACATGAGGTACGAACTGCACATGGTGGGAAGTACCCCAGTATTCAGTGCTCAGGTAGGCTTTGCTTTTCGCGATTAAGAGACAGTGAAGTCTTGACTTCAACCGAATTCACCCAGTTCCATGCACACACAGTAACTAAAGCAAGAATTTCCTTTTTATCCTCCAGGTTGAGCACAAACAACCATACCTGACTACGTGTTACTGTGTGTGGTGCCTGATCGATCAGTTCCAACTAAGTCCTCTCAGGCAAACATGCGTGCTTGCGTGCGTGCGCACACGGTGAAGCGCAGTGGGGCGCACACAAAGCGACTTGTGACAGCGTGGCAAGGTGATACGTGAATGAGGCGAGAGAGGCTCTCGATGCACGTAGATTACTCACCTGACCTACTCCAGCTTACGGATGGTTGGTTGTACGGTGTCACGTCAAATTGCCAGCGAATATTTTGCATCATATGGCATAGAACAAGGGGAAATCATGCTGTGGGGTCAACGGCTCACATGGCTTTACCGAAGTAAAGGGGGAAAGAGATGGTAACAAAAATGTTGGATACATTTCTACAGGAATACCGAAAGCCAGCAGTGTGCCAACGGAAGCCTTCAGGTGGCATTGATGAACAAGGAGTTGTGTCTAGCACACTATATTATGTGTCCGGCGTCTAGACGGCAGCCGACTGGCCTTCAAACCGATTGTTACTTCGTCCTGGAAGTCGCGTGCAAACCAAGGACTATCGCTGTGTCCATGAAAAGTCGGTCCTATGTATAAGTAAAAACAGGATAGCTCGCGCATGTGCTATGTTCTGGTGGGCCTATAGTGTTGAGTTGCCAACCAACTAGCTCCAACAGATGGTTGTGGTGTGCAAAATACTCATGATATATGTCTTTTCGTGTTGCTTCTCACAACACTGACATCCTGTAGCTGAATATTCACTCTTCATGGGTGCATAAAGCACACTGTTGACTTGATTTGACCCTAAGACCGGTTTCAGCAGATGAAGTTTTCCTGATCTGAGGTGGATCTAGGGACTTAGTGGTTAATTACCGTAGTCCTGATCACTCTACCACTAAGATCCATAAGCAACGCTTTGAGGCACGATGAATCATTGAACCTTGTTAAGTATCCTAGAGGCCTTCTAGTTTCAAAAGCCCGCTGACGTGGGAACGGGTCCCAAACTGATGTCAGTGACTGATACTGTCACCTTCCAACGTTGAAATAACCGTACAGGAAAGAAGCTGATTCCGTCCCAAGAAGACTCGGTTAACAAGGAAGACGTACTCGAATAGTTACTGATATTCGATAGGAGCATACGACTACATTTAGCAAAGACGACAAACCTTCAGGAAACATTTATATCAAGTAACATGACAAAATATTATTTGTTAAGACAATTAAATATCTTGTGGCAGTCAAACTTCTCGTCACGGACTATAGCTCCTCCTGTCAACACCCTTACCATTTACATCAGTGTTGATGATTGAAAGATACGTCATTCAAATCTTCATTTCGGTGCTTATTAATGTACAACCTTTTATGAGATTGTAATATGTAATAATGGCTAGTGCAAACATCTTCACACTAGTAGATTGGATACCACGACCATAGATTTCACCATTGTAAAACACATTGTCATGCGCCATTAGGATTGTGCTAGTGCAAACGTGGATTAAGTAACAAGTAAAAACCCCCTTTCTCATTTCAGTCGAAGAAGTGACAATTATTTTTCAATGTTGTTTCTATCCATGTAGTTTACTAACAATAGCCTTATCCTAGTCTAATTTGTCAGCATCATCATTATACTGTGCCACAATACATAAAAGAAAAAAGCAAATAAATACAAGTTATATGCCAGCTGAGCTTCCAGCAATGGATGGGCATCGTTCCGGAAAGCTACCAGCCGGCTACTAGGAAACAAGAAAAATTATGATATAAAATTACATTATGCTTCGAAATGAGTTCGGGGTTCGTAGGGAGGCTAAAAGGGATGGGGAGGGACAAAGAAACTCACAGCAGCAACGCCACTGAGGTCGGCTCCTAGCCATGTCAGCAAGTGTATCTAGCCAAACGTGTTCATGGTCTTTTAGACCTAAACCAGGGAGCCGTGAAGCTCCAACCGAGGCCAGATTCGAGGTGAGGGCCTTCATTCTTGTCGACTAAGTGATCGCTTGGCCACCCCGCCTCTTCTTCCATCCACACCCCCGGAGAGAAACAACGCACGTCGCGGGAGTCGGTGGGCAGGCATGCGTAACACGTGGCCTAGCCATCGGAGCCTGTTCAGTGGATAGTTAAACCTTTCTCCACTTTGGCATGTTACTCTATCCATGCTCACCGGTTAACTAATAGCAATGTGTCTGAAAATACTGACGCAGCCAATTGCGCCTTTTGGCGAAACTCGCTGAAAAAGCATCATTGGATGAGATAATGTGTCTGTTCGATCAGTAAGAATTTGTTGAAACAACTATGAAACAATTCCATTCACTGATTGGACTACGCTTGCTAAAAGGTGGCTCGCCTTATCCCGAACTAAATTATTCTTTAATTTAATATAAACAATATGTATTCATGGCATTAACTTTCCACTCGGTCTGGTGAATTCAAATGTTAGAATAGACTACATTCCCCTGCTGTTAGAAACGTAGCAGTCTTGTTATTGAACCTCTGGTTTGCATGTGTCATGTTAGTTCCGTTATCCATTCTTGAAATTTTGTCGCTTTCGTTAGGATGACATATATCTTCTTGCTATACACCGATCCAGGTTGTCTTACTCGGCTTAAAATTATTCCTAAATGTGTCTAAATGTTCCTGCTTCAAAGGATGCTTGATACATGGTTTATTACATAGATATTTGTAACAAGCATTCACCAGTGTCGATTTAGATGGCTCAGTTGCTAAGCCTGATGATGGCTTAAGCGGAACTACTTTTAAATGTGGATTCTCAAGGTGGACGTCTAATTCTGACTATTTACCTAGTTTCTTAACCTACTTTCGAGTCAATTGAAAGAGTTTCGAGCAGAACCTACTCTAATTACAATGAGGAGAATTTGTGGACGTATCTCTCAAGTTCAGATAGAAGTTAATTCTGTGGTTCACTCACATCGATCTGCTTTTGTAGTGAGGCACTGGTACTTCCACTGTCCTTACCGCTATTGCCGAACGTATGATTCAGACGGCTTATACTTCCCAACACTGATTCTCCAGTGTGACAGAGAAAACGCATCCATTAACCCATTTCTTAAGCCATGAAACAATCGTATCACATCGAACAGCTACAGCCAGTCAGGAAATCCAAAACTAGATACAACCCAAGGATACCCACGCCCATTTGACTTAGTGAATTAACTTGAACTAGCCAGACGGAAGATGTAATGTCCCTTTTTACCAATGTTACATTGGAGGTTTAAATGAATTACCTATGTGAGTTCGTCTAGTTAAGCAGCACTGACATCAGTATCCAACAAGACCGATTGAGACAAATATTGTTGACGTGCATGAGAAACCTTCAATTATATTTTAACATAGCGCTGTACCTACAAAATATCGGATGGCCACTGGTTAAGCGCTGGGGCCATTACTCGCGGAAGTCATTGTAATCGAATTAGAGCACAACTATTTGAACGAATCCATCAACTAATTGGTGTATTACGAAAGGATACGTTGCGAAAATACATATTTGGCGTCGCGGATAGTGGAGTATACGTCAATGAGTTGTTAGCTCACTTTGACTCCAGGCGCAGAAACATAACATCAGACCAGCGGAATTTCTACATCGCCACTGCGTTAGTGTACTTCTCTGTCGATCTACGCGTCAATTTCACCAGAACCACGGTTATGTGCCTACAACTTTGGATGCGCATCCACAATTGCTTCAAATTTAAAGTGCTTTTGCAAAGCAACATCATTTTCCCACGGATTATATGTTAACAACTTATGATAATCCCCGAAATATCTGAATTCAGAGTATTCTGTTGAAAGGTTGTTCCTACTTTCTAGCTTAAATTTTATCTAGGGAAAATGCCGCATGAAATTTCTTAGGAAACGCCTCACTGCGGGTACATTTCGCTCGCTAGGTTATCTTGTGGATTTAGGTTGTTGCACACTACGTGATTCCGTTCGTGTGGAATTATACACTGAATCTCTTCGGACACTCGTCTATCCACGTCAATACGTAAAGACAATTAAAAACGACAAATTACCAGTGCAATGAGTTCTATTCCTGGACACACAAGACATCCGATCGGGTGCCTCACAAACGGTTATTGATAAAGTTAGCTGCCTTTGGAGTCCGAGACACCCTACTAGGTTGGCTACCATCATGTCTGAATGGTCGCTATCCAATAGTCACCTTAAGCGACCATCATTCTCTCAAGCGTCCAATCACCAGTGGAATTGCCCAAGGAAATGTGCTCACTCCATTAGTCTTCCTAATGTATGTTAACAACATTAGCATGACTCTTAAACAAGGCAAACACTCTTTCTTCACTGATGATGTAATGACTGTCTGCAAGTTCCAAAGAGCCTACCTTCAGGAGACATAATTACACATTCAAGATGAGTTTCATTCCGTTGGGCCATGGTGTGTATATTAGATGGTGAACTTCTAAGCAAAATGTCAAATATCACGTACCGTGGTTGTACGATAACTGAATGATCTATTTCATCCAACGACGAATGACTTTTTGTGCAATTCTCTACATATGACCTCGGAATCAGGTCTTCATGTGCCTTCAGCTTTTCTGGGCAGATAGAGTACATGATAGTACGAGCCAGACAATCCATGAATAATATGTTTTCTAATATACCTACTATTTTTGCCAGAATTAAGCTTTTTAAGATTCTCACTTGTCCATCTTGGAGTATTGCAGCATAATTTGTAGCAGCATAAAGATATCTGACACAACAGCTACATAAAACCTACTACGATCGTTTGCCAAACGCCTGTTAGGCAGAAATTCTACCAAAACCCATCAGGAGCGATATCAGTAACTTCGACTCGACCAGCTTTGGCTGCAACGATTAAAGCCTTAATTGATACTGC